ATTTATAAGTGACTCACTTTACAGCATAACAGATTCTTCAACGATTCTCTACCTGATATTGTTTGATTTGTTTGAAAGCCCAGGCAAACACACAGATCTGAGCTGGCAGTTTATGAACAATACAGTCAGCTGTACAGTCTACAATGCAACAGATATAGGTAACGGTATCCAGTTTACCCTGTAGAAATGATGAGAAGGCCAGGCATTATCAGGCAGTGTACAGGAACCTTCTTCTCTAGTCCAGGTATGAATGGTTTCAGAATCCACCTTTCCAAACTAACAGAACTTCACGCCATTTTGCTGCCATTTTTTTTCTTTCTGCTCAGTTTACTGTCTCATTATTGATCAGCAGTATTGAAAAACGTACTAAACAATCATTAAACAATCAACAGATAGGCAGCTCAGTACTTTACATGCCAAACATACATGTAATGATTCTTCCTCTTATTGGAATGACTCTTGGAACATGAATGGCAACTGAGGCAGTGGGTGAGAAAGAAAATGGTGGTGGAAATGATCTCAAAAGTAGTTCTAGTGATGAATATGAAAAGGCTATTGCCAAAGAATGCTCTCTATTTGGAGAAGCAAATCATGAATCCACAGAAAGACAGCAAAAATTTTGCAGCTGTGAATGAAAGCCAAATTTTACACTTTGCTTTCACCAAAGCCTAACTTTTTGTCATAGAGTCTTTGTCATTTTCTCAATTCTCTATTACAGAAGAAGAAATCAGTGACTGACAATTAACCACCCACTTGGCAGAAAGAGAAGCAGATGTGTCATACTTGCTAAAATTTGGCTTTACCTGTGGTACAGCCAAATGTAAAGTAGTACATGGAAGACTAGATTTTCACAAGAGCATTTAGGTCCATTTATTGTAAATTGTGGCATTGAATTACTACCAGAGACACTGCTCTCTGTGATATTTTACCAACCCAGAGAGCCAGGCAGTTCCAAGCCAGAAATCATAACTTTGTTTTTCTTAGTGCATGTACTAGTCATTTGACTCTGTTTTTCTTAATTGATGCCTTTTTGAGCCATAGTTAGGGAGTTAGTAACACAGAATTTAAGAAGCAAAATGAAGTAATGTAGGTGTGTATCTCTTATGTTATCCCGTGATTGTAAATATTATTGTATTTTAATGGATACCATTACTGCTCAACCCCACTTAACATACAATTTGGAACTCTAATGTCTGCTCCTCCTCTGTAAAAATGTTTAGGTTTTCAGCCAGGTTTAACAAGATCTGCAATTGTAGGGGCAAATAAAGTTATTGATAACACAATATTGTGTAAGGCAGGCACCTTCAGTGGTGGAAAAAAGAGAAAAAACACTCTCAGATAGTGCAGAGTGCAATGTACTGAGCACAGACATATGGCTGTCACACAATTCCCCTGGTAGTCAGTTGGTGTTTTCCCCTTGCAGAATAGGAACAGACAGAAAGTTTGATAAGGTGCAATCTTAGCAGTAGTCTGACTGTGTATTTTCATTCATGTTACAAAAATGTAACTTAAAATAATCATTACAAACTTTAAATTTTAAAACTTTTTAAATTCTTTAAGAAGTTTAAGCAACAAACATGACAATTTTTCTTGTAAATTTAACATCTGCAACTTGATTCTTCTGTTTGCCTTACAAAGGTATGTTACAACATTATACTCTTGTTTTCTCAAAAACACAGGGGAGGTGTGCTTGTTTGTTCCAATGCTGGAGGTAGCTGGTAAGACAGTTACAAATGCAAATTTTCGTTTCACCCATAAACAAGGACTAATTTAATAATTATGATTCTACTCCAAGCATATTCACTACTGTAGTTTGAAAACAGCCAATGACATTTCTCACTCATCCACTTTGCCCCTTCGTGAGTGGAGTATAAGGCCACATTTCTCGAAACAAGCTGGACGTAATTCCAAGCAATAGCCAGTCACAGAAGTGCTCCTTGCACTCCAAAAGGAAGAAGTGATGTTATCCAAAATATGACTGCTCTCTGACCGAAATGAGAGTGTAGAATCACACAACATATAAAAACCACCAAAAAACTGGCCAAGTGCAATTAGCCATGAACTTTATCAACAACACCACACTGCGGGGCTATCAATGATAGCTGACAGTCAGGAGAATAAACCCCTTGATAAAAAAGTGGATGAAATGAAAGAAAATGACTTCAAACTTGAGGAGAAATTACAAGTCCTTCTCCAGTTACAAAATCAAAATATCAGCATTGTAGGCAGAACTCATAGATCTCAAGAAGCAGCATGA